GCTCGCTATCGCTCTCACCGCTCTAGCAGCTCAGGCAGCACTCGTCCCCCTCGTCCTCCTCATCCTCGACCTAGGCCTCGGCCCGATCTGAAGAATATGACTCGCAGCCGCTCGCCGCGGAGGGATGGCCGCCGCCGCCCACCGCCACCCCGCCCTTTCCCCCGCCCTTTCCCCGGCGCCGACCGCGTCCTCACCTGGCCCCAACATCGAGCGCTGCGGCAGCGGCGCGCTCGGCGGCTGCGCGCCCACCGCGCCCAGCCCCGCGGGCTGAAGCTTGGCCTGGAACGTCGCGCCGGCTCTGGGATCTGGCGGCAGCCGTGGCCGCGGTCGCGGCCTGTCGCGCTGGCTGTCGCCGCCGGTTAGACCCGCCGCTCTCACCAGCTGGAGCCTGCTGCGCAGCCGCGGCGGCTGCGGCTTCGGCGGCGGCGGCGGCGGCGGCGGTCGCGGCAGCGACGGCAGCCGGGACCGCCGATGCCGGCAGCCAGCGCTGCTCGGAGAGGTTCAGCCACCGCCGCAGGCTCTGTGCTGCACCGCGCTGCCGGATCTCGAGCCGGTGTGCGGCGTCCCGCGCTCGAAGCGCTGAGTCCACAGTCGCCTCGCACCAGCACGCGCGGCTCTCGACGTAGATGAGGATACTCGCGCCGACGCCGAGCGCCTCGCCGCCACTCGCCTCCGCCTCCGCCTGCCCGCCAGCCTGCCACGCCGCCTCGGCCTGCGCCTGCAGCTCCGCCCCAGCCTGCCTCGCCGCGGCCATTGAAAAAAAGAATTAAGAGGCGCACACCGAGTCGGGAAGGAAGGCGAGGGGGGGGGGGAGCTTAGAGCAATGTATGTCGAGGGAGAAGAAGAGGTGACATGCCCGAGAACTAAGCAGAAGGTGATGAAGCGAAAGGTTGTCCGAGGGGGGGCAATCAGAAAAGCGGCAGCGGAAAGGGGGAGGGAGATTAATAAGAGACGAGAGGTCGATATGAAGGCGGTAGAGAAGCTGCTAGAGCTGACCCAGCCCGAGACGGGGGGACAACCCACATCGAGCGAGGGGGCGGAACGATTGAAGGAGGAGGTGCTCACATGGGCGGCGTGCGAGAAGGCTATAAGACGATTCAAAAAGGGCAAGGCGGTCGGCTCGGACCTACTCGACGGATACTTACTGCGCATAGCAACGGAGGACATCCAAAAAGACTACTGGCGTCTGCTGGTACGGATCGTCGAGACAAAGCGTACCCGCGGGAATGGAATGACTGGATTGCGATGCTAGCGATGAAGCCGGGGGAAGACCCGAAGGAGCTCGAACGGAGGCGCGACCTCTGGGTCCAGCCACAGTCGTTAAAAGGACTCATGCGAATGCTCCTACCCGAATACGATAGAGCGTGCGCGAGAGTGGTCCCCGGCTCGCAATGCGGCTTCACAGCCGGAAAGAACGCGCCAGCACAGAGGGCAAGGCTGGGCGTCCTATTTGTGCTCCCCTCCGTATCCCTCGCTCTCGGGCACTACTCATCTGACCACTCATCAGAGGGGCTTCTAGGCGATCGGCCGCGCTCCGGGGCAGGGCTGGGTAGGATGGGCTCGGGCCACTCGCCCGTGCGGGTGTATCCCCGCATGAGCCGGATGGAGGCCTCGACTGTCGTGCCAGTAAAGAAAAGAAAGAAAACAGACAACCCAAGGGAGGGATGGGAGGACGGCACGCCGCCACCACACAGGGATTTTAAGGAGAGGTGTGTGGTGCGCTAGCCGTCGCCCACCCTAGGGAGTCTGCCTCTTCCTATCTCTCTTCGCAGTCTCTCTCCGACTCTCGCTGCAACCTTCATGCCACCTCGCGGTCGTGCCAGTATAAATAAATAAATACAACGTACACGCCAAACGAGGGGTGGGAGAAGGACAGGGTCCCCACCTGCACGAGCAGGATCTTGTAAGGACGATCAGGGACACAGGGGAACGGGAGCGGGGAGCGCATCGCGACACGGAGGGGGGCTGGGCAGGGTTCACCCTCACGACAGGGTCCCCGGGATTCCTCTCTCGTATAGGACAGGTTGCACCCGGCGGCACGGGGGCAAGCGCGGGCCTCCTACTGGTTGCGCTCTCCTAGTCGTGCCAGTGTGCTGTGAGATAGATAAGAATTCTTTTTTTTGGAAGGCTGAAGTGTTCGGAAGCCCTGCCGTGCTGTGTACGGGCGTGTGCACACTTATGGCCCCCGTCAAGTCGATCTGCGTGATTGGCGCAGGGCACGTCGGCGTACCGCACGCGGTGACGGTGGCTTCAAAATGCCCGGACATCCGCGTCACCGTGGTCGACGATGATGCTCGGAAGATAAAGGCGTGGGGCTCGGCGAGACTTCCCTTCTTTGAGCCGGGCATGCAGCCGACGCTGGAGGAGGTGCGGGGTGTCAACCTCTTCTTCTCCACCGACATAGCCGCCGCCATCGCGGAGGCGGACATGGTTCTCGTCTCCGTCTCGACGCCGGTCAAGGAGACGGGCGCAAACGCGGGCTACGCGCCCGACCTGCAGCACTGGGAGGCTATCGCGCGCAAGATCGCGGCGGCGTCGCGCACGCCCAAGATCATCGTGGAGCGGTCGACGGTGCCGGTCGCGACGGCGGACACGATGACCGCCGTCATCCGCGCCAACTCGACTGTCGAGCGGTCGAGTCTCTCGACGGGGGAGTGGGTGGTGCTCTCCAACCCTGAGTTTGCGCAGCAGGGGAACGCGATGCTCTGCCAGGCGTCGCCCGAGCGCGTGATGATCGGCGTGGCCGAGGGCGACAAGCATGCGGAGGAGGCCGCGCGGGCGCTCGCCGCCATCTACGAGCGGTGGGTGCCGAAGAGCCGCATCCTCCTCTCGGACTTGTGGTCGGCGGAGCTTAGCAAGATGGTGGCGGACGCGTTCCTGGCGCAGCGCATCTCCTCGATCAACTCCATCTCGGCGCTGTGCGAGCGGACGGGCGCAGACGTGTCAGAGGTCTCGCATGCCATCGGAGTGGACACGCGGATCGGCCGCAAGTACCTGCAGGCGCGAGGTATGGGGAGATATGGGGAGGTATGGGGAGATACGACACGCGGATCGGCCGCAAGTACCTGCAGGCGTCGGTCGGCTTTGGCGGCGCTTGCTACGAGACGCACTTGCGCAACCTCGTCTACCTGTGCAAGCACTACCGGCTGCCGCAGGTCGGCACGTACTGGGAGAGCGTGCTCAAGATGAACGACTACCAGAAGCGGCGCTTCGCCGCCAACATCGTGGGCAAGATGTTCAACACCATCTCAAACAAGAAGCTGGCCGTCCTCGGCGCCCCCTCCTAGAGGCTGAAGAGGGGCTCCCCGACCAGCACTCGAGAGGACGCGTATGGTAGCCGTACTCGACCGAGAGGACACACTGTCTTCGCACCCCTCGTACTCACGCGGTGCTCTGGAGACGCTGCTCGAGACCGCACTCCCGCCCCAATGTTTGGTGTGCTCACACAAAAACACAGCCCCGGACCCACGACGCACACGCACAGGCAGTCGAGAAGGGAGAGACAGCAACGGCAGTCAGAAGGCAGCGCTGGGTCCCAGGAAGGCGAATGCGAGGACGGCCTCTAGTGCGAGCTCTACACTAGTGAGCTCGTACTGGTGTGCTCACACTGCAGGCTTCGCGTACAAGAAGAACACCTCCGACACGCGGCACACGGTCGCCATCGACGTGTGCAACTACTTGCTCGCGGAGCGCGCGCGGCTGAGTATCCACGACCCGCGCGTGGCCGCCGAGGCGATTGGCATCCACTTCAGCGGAGGCGGCCTCGACCAGCTCGTCAACGTGGAGACGGACCCGTATGCCGCGTGCGACGGCGCGCACGCGCTGATCCTTCTCACCGAGTGGGACATGTACCTCGAGCTCGACTTCGAGAAGGTGTACGAAACGATGAGCAGGCCCGCGCACATCTTCGACGGGCGCAACCTCCTGGACCACGACAAGCTGCGCGAGATCGGCTTCCTTGTCGAGGGCGTCGGCAAGGGGTCGCCGCCTAGCGACGAGTAGCCCGGCTGAAGCGCGACGTCGGTGTGACTAGACGTGCGGCGGCGGAGGACAGCCGCGACCAGTGCAGAGTAGCCGCGCGGTCTTAGAGGTGGGTTGTGGCATGCGGACGAGATCGCAGATGCGTACACCGGGATCCGGCGTGCTCAAGGTACTCCTTCCTACTGTATCCTCCCCCACCTCACCCTCCCATCCTCCCACCAGAGAGAAAATGAAGAAAAACTCCAGACTGGGGGGAACATCGCGTCCCTCTCCCTGCGGCTATTTCGATTTGCCGCCGAGAGTGGCAGGGACATGTACCTCGAGCTCCGTCGACTTCGAGAAGGTGTACGAAAAGATGAGCAGGCCCGCGCACATCTTCGACGGGCGCAACCTCCTCGACCAGTCTGGTATAGTAAGTAGGGAGTATAGAACTAGAAGAAAGCAAGAGAGAGATTTTGAAAACCAACAAGAAATCTCTCTTGAAAGCAAAGACGGGAGCCCTGGGGCCTGCGCACACACGACTCCGCAGGAGAAGCCCCTCCCGCCCGTGCTTGGTTGCGCAGCGCAGCCTTCACAGAAAACTGCGGCCGCCAGCGACTGAGCGTCTCGCGCTGGCGGACGGGGAGAGGAACACAAAGGGGCGTACGGTACGGACGTCCATCCACTGGGATATGAGAATATCTAGATACTACCGCCGAGGGAACGTTGGGAAGAGGCACGAGGAGGGCGGCGACCTCGACCGACTATGGAGGACCCGTCGCCAGACGACGCAGGGCAGAAGACGGTGAGGCGGAGCAGACGCGCAGGGCGAGACGAGGGAGGGAGCAGGACTTTGCGGAGATCAGCAGGAGGATGTACGAAGAGATTGGAGCAGCAGGGACCCGAGGGACCATGTGGAAGACGGCTAGTGCTAGTCCCCCATCGGGAGGACGACCCCGGCTAGTCGCCGACCACACCCACAAAGAACCCTGCACAAAGATCGCAAGGGCGGGGACCTGGTTGTTCCTTTTTACCCATCACAGTAGAGGTAGGTAGGTAGAAAGGTGAAGAACAGCCAGGCTCGGACTGGACACCAACGCGGTATGGGTGGACGCTAGACAGATGATGACGACACGCACGAGCGACACACAGACACAAAAAGGCTCACAAGACACACAGCCAGCTGGCTGCCACACACCCTGAGTAGGCACAGTAGACAGCCGCCAGCACTTGGAGCACTTGGAGTGCAGTCATTAGCCTCACATCCACACAGACACCGCCGGCACGCACTCCCACTTCACACATGCTCAAGCACAACCCCACCAAAGCACAGCCCTGCTCAGAATGGGCAAGGGCTACCACTTGGTGACCCAGGTAGCCTCTGGCTCGCCACTGCACTCGGCTCCTCTGCAGCTGTCTCGGGCTCTCCCCACGACAGCACCCCGACGGCAAGCTTTGACGCCCGTCTGGTGGGCCTGCTTTGTCCACAGCCGCCCCTCACATGCAGCTCGCACCAGGGCTCGACACCGGGCTCTCTCATCCCGGTCGTGGCGGCGTGTGTGAAGGATGCGCGGCCGAGCCGCTGCCTGGCGCCGCTTGAACGTCTGAGAGCAGCCTCCAGGAGGCGGAATGGGTCGCGGTGCATGTCGCCATCGGCCTTCGGGGGTGGGTCCGGGGCCAGGCCACTCTCGGCGCCCGAAATACCCGGCGCAGAGCCCGGCATTGGGGCCGCGCGCGGACGAACGCAAACCCTATAGGGTTGAGGGCGGCCGCCCAAGAGCCGAAATAGGCCTT